AAGATTGGCATATGGATAAAGATACGTGTCTGAACAAAGAGAGGAATTAAGATAGATATTTTGAGTAATTGCTAACAAAGGAAATACCGTACCAAAATATGTGAATACGAAGATGCGGATTTGGTTAAAACAAGAATGTCATAGGAAATAATTTGAAGGAATACAGAATTAATTGAATGAGTCATGATATTAGGAACATTTGTTTACAGTAAGAAATTTATTTGATGATTTGTTTGTATGGTTGAAGTTTCGCGAATCGAAATTTGGATCTTAAAACATTAAAGTGTTTCCGGTTGATTAAGATATTTTTGGTTGAAATGTATAACAATAATAGTGATATCATCTCTATACCTGCGTGTTACATCAGGTGGTAATTGCAGCATTTTGATTAATCGTATGTACTGCGCCGAAACTTCTCCAGGACCACCCAACGCATGTCGAAGTAAATGAGTAGCGCTGTTTTCATCCAGCGGTTTCTTACTTGTTTTATGTAATCGTTGTTTTAAATCTTGATGAACCTGGAATAACATTCAACCATCACTATATAATCTAATAGTAAGTACTGCAAAGTTTCGTTGGTTTAAGCTTGTTCAATCTGAATGAAAAATAACAACGGTCTGGAAAGACATGAATGAATTCAAGTAGAGAAAAAAGTAATATGTAAACAAAATAAAATTCAAGCACCTCTGTCAATGCAGTTCCTGCAGAAGGTGGAGATGAAGTGAGAGTTTGCATACCCAGTGTATGATCGAATACCAGCCTTACCACTGTGTCAGGATCAAGATAATCCCAAAGACCATCAGAGGCAAGTACCATGAAGTGATCATTGGGAGTCAATTTATGATACAACACCTATAAATTAATTTTATTAACACGATTCGGGAATATTTGAGAGAATATGGAAGAGTCAAACTTGAAACTTCAGATTCTGTTTTAAATAATCCATTTGGAAAATGTAATATAACAATCATATTTTGTATACGATTGTTATACTACTTTTCCCAACAGAACATTTAAATTGTATTTATTTATTTTTCGCAAGACCCTTGAAAGGTTAGTTCAAACGGTAATTAAGTACGCATCGTTTCATCGCGACGACACATACATACATATACTATTTCGCACATAACACGAATTTACGCGGCACGCGCTTACTTCTGGTAAAGAGCTAAGGTACGGTGGTGAGTCCATTCCATATGGTAGGGAATGACTCTTCGCACCAAATATTTCCTTTTGCAACTCAGCTGACCATTTGTATCTAACATCACCAAATGCTCTGAAAGGAAATAATTCACCAAAAAGCCGACCACCGACTATCACATTGTTCGTTTCACTAGGTGGATGAGCATCTCGAATTCTCCGCACCTGAAAATGAAATATCCCATGTGTGGAATAATAAAGTTTTATAAATCGAATATTTTTAATTAAAATAATTTCTAATCTATTACACACCTAAAAATGCACTCAGTAAAAAGATTGTGATTAGATTATTAGGACTATTCACAAGCAGAATTTTCACTCTTCAGCTGTTAGAATTATTTCCGTAACAATTTTTCCACTAGTGTAAAAATTTCCACCTTTCCTTGGTATCCACTTAAACCATGTGCTCTTTATTTCATTGAGCTTGTCACCGACAGCTAAAAGGAAACAACCTACCTCATCAGCATTATCAACACAGTGTAATTTCGAAAGAGGCATGGCTGAGATGACACCTTCGCTATGCAACCCTAACACAGCGGCACTGTCACCAACATTTGCCACATGCAAATTTATACCCCGAATATGAGCTACAACTGCGCAGGAGCCTGCCAACACTATTCCAGCATATTGCCTTCAATAACTCATTTTGAAGAGTCTTTAAAATTAAATTGAACACTCCTTACCTTGAATTTTTTTTGAACTTTATTTTTTTTAGAAAAAAAACTAATCTTGAATTTTTTAAAAACTTGTTTACACTAATTTTAAAACTTATTTAAATCATTTAAGTTTCATTTCCAAAAAGCTTTGTCATAAGCACATAACTGTTGCTACTGTCTATTACTGTTTTACTGTCGATCATGTGACATCTATGGGCTTACACGAAGTTTAGTTGAACTCCTCGACCTACTCAGCTACTGAATTGAAAAACTTAAAGCTAAACTCACTTTGATAACTCATTATGCTTTTCGTTCAATGCGTTAGCCGACAAAGCACTGTCACATGCACAAAAAGAGACTTCTAAGGCCTTCTTCACTGTTGTTATTGTCGAGTCGTCCCTCGCTTTCTTATGAAAATTCTCAACATTTTTCAAATGTGTTTCTCTGAAACATCGAAGTATTCTTTAACCGAAGTATTTCTTCCATACTCCAAAAGTCTTAGTATGCACAGTGAAAACTAGAAATGATTCCAAATCTTAAATTTGTCCATATTCGTTTCTAACAATCTCTACTGCAAAAATCGGCAATTTCAAAAGTCGTGGCAATTTGGAAAGAACAGAAAAAAATTCTATACAAACTTTTGAAAAGAAAGAGTTAAGCAAAGTTTCTTACTTATATATTTCATCGAGTAAATCACCATTTGTGAAAAACCATTGTAATCTGTCTTTGATAGGTAAATCAGTAACAATATGCTGTTTCAATAGAGAACATGATATATAATCAAATAGCCGCGTAGAAATATAACGACTGCATGCACCACCACCGTGTCCATCAAATACACCTGGAAGGATACTGTGATAAAATAAATTCTAAATTTACCAACAAACTAATTCGAAAATTTCGTCCCTATGTGTAAGTTGTAATTAAAAATAACATCTTGTTAAATGACAATCTATAAAAAATATTCTTTTGCGAGAAAAGTCATTCAGTTCGATCTTTACTTAATTCGAACCAATAACAACATATCCTTACTCCTTTTTTAATCTATTTTTTCCCTTCAAAAATCCTAAAGAATTTTAAAAAAAGTAAAAAAACAGTTCAGCATTACCAAAGAGCAAGGCTTCGGATGAACGACATTTTGCAGCTGCATAATAATCCTCTGTTGGACGATTAGCAGGTAAATGTGCGATGTCAATTCGAGAGACCGCTCGATCTGCAATGACACACGATTGTTCGCTAGACCGAAGTTGTGCATCAGTATAGGCTCGTGAAGCTCGCATATGACGTCGTGCTTGTCGCCATACGTTACGCTGGACTTTCTGAATCATCTCAACGATAATATCGACTCATTATTGCCTGATATCTAAAAAGAAATATATATTTCTTTTATGTTTTTTAAATTAGACAAAATATTTAGTTGAGAAAATTTCAAAAATTGGGATAAATTCAATCCAGCTATTCATTTTTCTCCCTTATGGCTTGATAACAAAGATTTGTTGGCACTTATGTCATGTACCAAATGTTTCATTTAGCATAGATAAACATGATAAAGGAGAAACATAAACATATGTAAAAAAAGATGTACATGTAAAATATAACAATTAGCTAATTTAAAAAATAACTAATTTAAAACTAATTTAAAAATTTGAAATAGAAAGCAGAAAAAAGGCTTAAGATGTTGTTTAATTTCAAGCTTAGCAACAGGTAACACTTCTCGTCATTCTGATAGTCTGCAATGCATGACATGGAATAAAGATATTTACAGTTAACAAAAGTCTCCTTTTTTTTCTCTCTATCTTCTTTTCAAAAATCAAATTCACCGAGACAGCAAAAAAATAAGTTCATAAAATCACATTCAATATGCCTCGCTTTCTTTCTTTGCCTGCTGCTTTCTCACGGAGAGAAAGAAGAGAAAAACAAATCTCTTCTAATAATATACAGCATTCATTAACATTTTTCCTGGTCAAGTAATTGAAGTTTTTATGAGAGGGAAAAAAAAACTTGTTGACATTAATTCGAAAATCAGAAAAATAAATGAGATATCAAAACATATTTCCTTCACGAAATGCAAAAAGACGCATGCTGAATCCATCTTATAACTGTTTTTTTTTCTCATAATCAATCGCTCATTGGAAAAAAAAGAAAAGGGAACCTTTTACCGATTAAAACGAGATATAAAATAAAATGTTAAAAATTTGTTGAAAATCTAAAAATTACGTGATATTTTCTTCCATAAATCCTAATATGATGTCACTGTTAATACACTGTTATGTGACAATTTCAATGGAACATGAAGTTGTAACGAAAATTTAAAAAATGTAATAAAAAACGTGCTGTGTGCTTTTAAATAGAGATAATTGCAAGAAGGAATAAAATACGTGTTAAATTCGAAAGAATTCAATAGAGCGAAAAGAAAAAAATTATGAGATAATTTATTCTCGATTACTGGCTGATATTATTTTTGAAATGAAATTTATGGAAAACTTACTAATGTCATATCACAAGACAAATTTCATATTTAAAAATAAAAACTTTTATGCAAACAAAGAAATAATACATGGAACAATTGAAGTGAATATTTAGCATTTTGGAAATTAAAATTTTTTTTAAAAGTAATTCGAGGCAAAAATTAATGCAAGAAATAATCACTTTAACTTCAGAAAATTTTGATAAAAGACTGAGGACGGGACTCATGACAATCTCAAAAGATCAGCCAATGGTCAATGAATTTTCATAATTGGCGAATCAAAGACTGACCATTGGGAAACAAATTTCACAAATGAACTTTAATACGGTCCGTGAAATTAAAGAAAGGTTAAAAGTGGGGTCATGGTCAGGGGTCAGGCACCTGACCTCTTGCTGTCAGATACCTGACGTCGGTGACTTTCTTCATACTTGGTCGTTATTAATTTTTTAAAACGGACTAATTATTGCAGAATTTATGCTTAAACATTCACTTACGTGAGTAAGCGTCTACGTAACAACAATAAATATGTTTATGTGTTTTTACTCATTTGTACCGCAGTATAAAATGTGTATATAGAGAGGTAATGAAAAGATTCGAAATGAGTTTTGTTTTAAACAATTGCATTGTTTTAATTTCATTAACTGTTTTGTTAAGACAATTTTGGAATGTTTATGGAAGTCATAACGTTGATTTCCTTGTGAGTTATTATTTCAGTGATCTATTTGAATTTTGTTTAGTTGTCGCTCTTGTGTATGACATTTTAAATTTTATTCTCACAATAGATTTTATGAATACAAGTAGTTCGAAAGAACTCAGATATGTTTGACCATTTAGTCAAGTAATTTGCATTCAAGCTTTTTTTATAATTTTTCCAGGTAAGAATGTGAAATTTGCATTTGGCATTTGAGCACATTTTTCTTGCTGCAGTTAGGAAGTGCATGATTAATGAGCATATGATTTTGTATATTTTTTTTACATATTTATGCATGGGTCAAATAGTTTTGAACTGGAACCTTTCTGAGAGCGGAATGAAGGATATATTGTGCAGACTTGCATCTTACAATTTAGATTTTCAGTGTATCGTGTAAATCTTTTTACAATTACAAATTAACAGCTGTAATTTAGGCGAAATTATTGTTCATATTCATTCAATAAAAACTGTTTTACGAAAAAAGGCTATTAATTTAAACAAGTGCCATATTTTATAAACTTTTAATTAGACTTCACTGTAGTTATTGCTAATTTCGTTCGAAGAGATTCCATTTCGTTTATGTGAACTTAGTTTTGCTAGAAATTTCATTTGAATTAATACGAAAGAACTATAGAAAGTGCAGGATGGAAAGCCATTGTCATAGTATACCAGTCTCGTTCATAGATGGCAGCAAAGATGGTTTATTTTGAAAAATGATGCGTTTCATGGGAAAATTATGAATTTAAATTCAGAATGTAATAAGTGTGCTATGATCGATTATTCTAATAATGAACTTCGCACTGAGCTTCTAGAGAGAACTGAAATGACGTTGTTTTGTGACATTCGGAGAATGATTCTTGATTTCCTTCCAAATTTAAGATAAAAAAAAGTGTTTCAAGCTTTTTTTGGACTTTTTGCAGCTTCAGGAACATGTAAATCTTTTTACTGTTTTCTTTGAATCATTACGCCAAATTCATAAGCAAATGATAAAATCTTTTTGCATAAAACTTGCATGCATATGTTTTAGGTAGATTTTATGCATTTTATCTATTTAATAGTTTTTCGTTGCGAATTTTTTGCTTATTGTTTTGGGATCAGTTACTGATCTTTCGGTTTATGTATCGTACTGATTTTGTTAGATATTTCAATTGAATTAATAGGGAAAGTTATCCTTGCAGAGAACAGAATGGAAGGTCCATTATCAAAGTGGACCAATGTGGTTCACGGATGGCAGTACAGATGGTTTATTTTAAAGGATGATGCACTTCATTATTACACATCTAGGGAGAAAATGATGAAAGGACAACAACGTGGTTGCATACGTCTTCGTGGTGCTGTTATTGGTATCGATGGTGAAAATAATTCCTTGTTTACAGTTACTGTTGACGGCAAGACATTTCACTTACAGGTATTTTTACATACAAGATATTTTTTGAGGTTAAAGAAAAATGTACATTTCAGATTCAGAATTGTAAAATATTGTACACGCTGGAATTTGGAAGTTTTTTAGCAGTTGGAAAATTTCGTCATAGAAAAAAAATTGTGTTGCTGTTGATTAAAATTTAAAATGACTTTTTCAATATTATAGTCGAATCCTCAGGAATGTTAGGTTATTCTGTTGGATAATAAAGATGAAAAAGCTGCTTGTTTTAGGGTCGAGATGAAGCGGAACGCAATTGCTGGATTCGTGCTTTGGAGGCTACCATCCATGAGCAGAGTGGTTATTATCGTATATCTTCACCGAATTCACCAACAATGTTGAAGGCAAAAGCTATTGAAGCGGACAAACACTTGCAGGATATGATCAATGAGGTATCGCCATGTTCTTTGGAAATTTTGGAAATTGATTCAAGTAACAAGCACTCGTGGTGAGTACTAGTTTTTAAGAGTGGTAGTATAGTGCATAGTAAAAGTTATATGATTCATATTTGTTCTCTGATTTCTTTAAATTGTAATATCTCTTCTAGTCAGTTATTTAAAAAAATAATTCCAAGTAAAAATAATTTTAATCAGATTAAATACTGCAGGTTAGAGAACTAGAAGGATTGTCTACATCAGCAAATACTGAAAAAAATACTGAAATGAAGAAAACAATCGATGATTTAGTTAAATCAGCGAATCGCTTGTTAGATACGGTAAAGCATGCTGTAATATTGCTGCAAATGGCTAGGAGTCATTTAGAGGGTGCTTCACTATTAGATTTAAATGCAGATGATGAGGGATCCGAAAATTCTCAGGTTAATATTTTACTTTCAAGATTACGTAATATATTCATTATCATGTGACTCTCAATGAATGCAATCACACAACAGTTTGCTTTATTATTCTCCTCTTATTATGCATTATCATTTGGACCCATTAGTTGAATTCCAGTAGGATTACGTTTACCTTGAAACACAATAAAAGTGGAAAGAGAGAAAATAATAAGATTATTACCTTATTATTTGTCTTCTCTCCATTTTACTTTACAACTGAGAGATATCTGAAAAGAGTTTGCAATAGCAAACTTATTGTGTTAATAAGAAAAAATATAATTGTTTTTTTTTGTGCCAGTTTCAGGCGAAAGTTATAGTTTCTCCATTGTCATACTCAAGTAGTGAAGATGAATTTTTCGATGCCGAAACTCCAAGTGATGACAAATTGTCGCCTAGTGAGGATAATTCAAATGGCATCGACAATTCTGGACACAGTAGCAATCCTGGCAAGAAGAATTCCCAGTCAAAAAAAAAGTCAATCCAAGATCCGGATTTCGGTGATGCGAATGAAGATTTTGACGCGGCTTATGAAGATGCAGAGGAACTCGATGTTGGTAATGTGCAGCAGCAGCACGGATCTGTGCTTATGCATCTTCTTTCACAAGTACTTTTTGACTTGGCTGTGAAAATAAATTCGACTATAGGTATAGAAGTGCTTTATTTTGAAATTCTCAATCACTTCTGAATATGCAGCAGCTATTATATAATTTTGTCTCGATTTATCTACTGTTTGTAGTCGTATATTTTAAATGGCAGCAGAAATTTTACGTTTCTGTTTATCTCCATCTATAATTAATAATTACTTTAATTAGCAAGATGTTTTGTCAACTTAAATTTGACATTTGCAAGATAAGCACTTTTCAAATTGCAGGATAACAATGATTTATCAACATACTTCCTGCACAGCTGCACCAGAATTATCACATGTATCATTGTATTTCAAAGTCAATTGTATCAATGTCCCTGTATGAAATTACAGTAAATCACCAATCTAAATTTTAGGTAAGTGTTGGAATGGATTTAACCAAAGTGACGTTACCAACATTTATTCTCGAACGTCGCTCTCTTCTGGAAATGTATGCAGATTTCTTTGCACATCCTGACACTTTCGTCGGTTGCACCGACATCTCATCACCGGAAGAACGCTTCATTTCTGTGGTTCGGTACTATATGGGTGCTTTTTATGCCGCTCGCAAAAGTGGAGTGGCTAAAAAACCGTATAATCCTATTCTTGGAGAAACGTTTCGCTGTTAGTGGTTTTATTTTGTTGTTTTAAACACGGAGTTTTACAACTGTCGTAAATTTAGAAGATCAAGTTTTGTTTTCCTTGGAATTTTTTTTTAATTTTTTGCAAATAACCACTTTGTTTGGTAGAGGAAAGCAGCTTAGTTTTTTATAGGTCGATGGAAAATACCTGGTATGAAAAGAACTAAACAGCTCACTAAGCGTGGTCCTTTTCCTGGTTCTGATGAAAATGATTTAACATTTGTCGCAGAGCAGGTCAGCCATCATCCGCCTGTGTCGGCTTTTTATGCCGAACATCCTGGTAAACGGGTTTCATTTGCAGCACATATCTGGACGAAGTCCTCGTTCTTGGGTCTTTCTATTGGTAATTATTTGAAATTTATTTAAAACTTTAAGAAATTGTTTTTACGAATTTTAGGACTTGATCGTTTTTGATTTTGATTGCTTGATCGGGAAAAAATTATTTCTGGTTGATAAAAGATGGGTAATTGGAATCTTTGTCCCTGACATTGCTTGAAATTTTTTTTTTAACTGCACAGAATATCAATTATAGAGAATGATTTAATCTCATTAACGCGATATGTTCCTTTAGTTATCAGTGACTTTAAGGAGTTAGTAACATTGGTTGGGGAACAATGAAGCTACACGATTACGGTGAAGAGTATGTTTTAACATTCCCAAATGGCTATGGGCGTTCAATTATGAGCACTCCATGGATTGAACTCGGTGGGAAAGTAAGTTGCGATAAATGGCTATTTGTTCGTTAATTTGAAATTAGCTATAGTTGGTTTCAATTTCGAGTACTACTCTGGTAGTTGTTGTGGCATCATTTCAGGTCACAGTTAATTGCGTTAAAACGGGATATTCAGCTGAGATTGATTTTCTAACAAAACCTTTTTTTGGTGGAAAAGCACATCGTATAAATGGAAATATTTATCGTTTGGGTTTTAAAAAACCTATTCTTATAATAAAAGGGGAATGGAATGGTGTGATAACTGCGAAACCTCTGAATGGTTGCGAATATTTATTTATTGATGTTAAGCATTATCCTGAGGTGAAAAAGGTTTGATTTTTTTGAGTCAATTTCAAAAAAGTCATTTTTTGAGGGAAAAAATTTTTTTTGAAACTTTTTCTGAAAAAAATTTTTGTTTTGAAAAAAGGAATTTTTTTGTGAAAACTGGATGGTGTGTTTAATTGCAGGATTGTTTTCACCAAATATCAAAGTCTCGAGTAAATTTATTTTTTTTTAATTTTAGGAATGCGAACCTGTAGCAAAACAAGGTGATAGGGAATCACGTCGTTTATGGCGACATGTTACAGTCGCTTTGCAAAAAAATAATATACAACTTGCGACTAATGCAAAGAGATGGATTGAACAGAGGCAGCGAGAGGAAGCTAAAAAACGACAGGTATTCGAAGGCATACTGTAATTTGGAATTCTCTTTTTCTGTGTAATTGTAAGTTGAAATAATATTTTAGAATCATTGCTGTATAAAATAAACAGAAATATTTTAGGATCAACGAATCGTTTATCATCCGGTTTTGTTTGTTAAAGAAGGTGAAGGCTGGAGGTACAAAGACCAATTACGATAACTTTTTGTGGATTGGAGAAATTGATTGACTGGAAAGTTTTGGATAACAGGAAAAACCAAAAAATATAAATTATCTTTGTTATTTCTAAATTGCTCCTCAGCGTAATGCAGCTATTTTTAATTTTAGCTGAATATTTGGAAAACATCAGCATACGGGAAATGTTTCTTTTGTCCAGTGTGATTAAATTTTTGATAATCTTTTATTCTTTTTCTAACCAATGAGTGCAGTTTTTAATATCTCTATTAGCTGAAATATAATTTAGTGATTTTCAAATTTCAAACCTTCTTCATTATTTCGATTTTATCTGAAAAGTTACTTTCCTGTACATTTACCACTAAGTTTCCCTACAGTCTTGTGAAGTACCTCTTTATTTGGCCATTTTGATATTATTACATGTGATATATTTGTTCTGTCGTTAATTGTTAAAGGTACTGCTTATAATTCATTTGTGATTTCCATTTTAACTAACATTATTGCTTCTGATGTATTTAATTGCTGATGTATGAAATTTTCTTTATTTGTTGCTTGTTTTTTTGGTTTTCTGCGAGTTTTCTCTTGTAATAGATATAATGATTCGTTTCGAGTTTCTTTACCTTCTTTGTATTTTTTTTTTGCATTGTTTTGTGAGAAAATTTATTTTTAGATGAATTTTAGATGATTCGATTTAGTTAAAGATTGTTTATTCCTGTTGTTAGTGATTTTATATTTGGTTGGAGAATATGCGATTTGTTGTCATAAAATCTGTTGAGATCGTAATTAAATTTCATTTCAAATCGTACCATCTTAATATTCCAAACAATGCATTTATCTGTAAAAATTTGTAAAAAGAATTAGTCAAATAATTCCCGAACTGTCCATCCGTGTTTCGGAGCATTACTATTGTTCGAGCTAGTACCATCGCGCATTGCTTCACAAATAATTGTTATATCCTGGCAGGTAGAATGTATGTTTTATCAAATGACTGAAATGGAATATCAATGATCATTTTTTAAGGGAAGTCTAGTTCGAAAATTCTTTTTTATTGAATGTTTCTATGTTGTTTAAGGTCGGCAAGTATGTGCTCTCACCAAACTGAATTCATTGTTGCAAAACGTGTGGTTGGTTTCATGAGTATTGTGATGGATGGATGTATTTTCGTGTGGGTAGGCAGCAGAAATCGCTTAGATAACTTAAATTTTGCGCAAAATTTCCGCGGAATGAATCTGATCGAATCACCAAAACAAAATTATTTAACAGATAGCTTTGCTGTAAAACTTAATAAGCTATTTCCCAACAAACAGGTTTGTTTCGTTAATAATGTGTCAGAATAGTTCCAGAAAATTTAATATTAATTTTAAATTTATATTTATCATGTCCTTACTTTATCTGTAGTCGGTGATATTGGATTTGTTGTATGATAAATGTGTGTACCATACTCACAGATGAAGCACAGTGACTTTGAATTGTAGGGTTCTTGAAAAAATATTAGTAGCCTTATCAGTATGTGAATTAGAAGAACTAGAAGAATAATTTGTGAATCTCGTGGAAAAATTGATGAAAGAAAAATAGCATTTTCCGAGAAGAATGAAATCTTATTTAAAATAAATTTAATTTTGAATTCTAAAGCAGTATGTGATTAGAAATGACAGGCTTTGCAAATTGTTGATTATAGTGAAAACAGTCTTTTCTTATTTTAGGTTTTCTTCTCAAGTGATCTTTGCATTGCGGATGCATCATTTTGGGCTGAATTATTGCAGGTTATAACAAATTATGTTTCGGAAAATGAAAAGATTTTCGATGTCGTTCAGCGTTGTAATTGAACTGAAAAACTTCTCTAGTTTATTTGTTACATGAAAGCCAAATTTATTTCTATGTTTATCCTTCGCTTTTTTCAGTAACATTTATTATGTCATGACAATGCATCAATCATTTTCAGATTTAATTCATAAGTGAATGAATGATAATGAAAGTTTCAGAAAATGAAAAGATTTTCGATATCGTTCAGCGTTGTAATTGAATCTTTATATATAATATAACTTGTAAATGAACATATACTTGTAATTGAACAAGTATATTTTCACAGTTTTCTTACCCGTCTATATTTTCAATGTATTCCTTGTTCATTATTTTTATTAGTCACTTAAATTTTCAATATAAATGTTGCCCAAATATATGTCTTCCTTAATTTTATTTGCTGGAATTATGTATAAACTTAAAAAGTGATATTTATTTTCTGTCGTAATAACAGGGGTGACATTACTTCTCAATTATTTGTTAGAAGATTATTTATGTTTTCATCTGCATCACATTTGCTTGTTTTCATGGAAACAAACATTTTTTTATTGCATTACGTGTAATCCGTGTCATTATGCGTGTTTGTATGAATATATAAAATATGCATTTTCAGTGCGATCTTATGTGTTATCGATTTCATTGCATTGTATTGCTAAATAATTTTTCAGATGCTGCGGGTACTTCGCGGTCGTGACATTATGCAAGTATTTCGCAGTCAACAACGTTTTTGTAAAGTTAAAGGTGTTGTAAATGAGAAAGAGATTGAGATTAAGAAGGGGACACCACAAAGCAAACTGGATGATGAGATTGAAATAGAAAAAGAAAATAAATCTTACGAAGATCCATATCTTCCAAAACATCCCGGAGGTATCTTTTATTCTAATTTGCTATATAGAAAAGAAGTGGTTAGGATTGGTTTCCTTAGAAGATTTTATAGATGATAAGAGTATTTGTTTTCGTAAACGTTGTTTTGTTTTTTTTTTTTTTGTGAACGTTTTGGCAATCGAAGTTTATTGTTATTCATCTGCAATAAATCATTTCTGATTTTTGCGTGAGTCAATAGAAGTAATTCATTTTAGGCGTCAATCCGATAACCGGGGAAATTGGTGGGCCAGCTGGACCGGAACCGACGCGCTTCGGCGATTGGGAACGGAAAGGACGTTGCATTGATTTCTAGAATTCACTTTTTCTCACGATTTATCTTTTGGATTACTTTTACCTGTCAGGTTAATAAAAGAACACATGCTTCCCTGATTTTCCCTTAAAAATGTCTTTGACATATCTAAAAAACTATTCGTGATTTCAAATATTATTCTTGATTTAATAAACGTTGCGAATGATTGGAATAAATATGTTTGTGCTTTGCGATTTAGATTTTAATTTTTGGGTTCAGTTTGTCAACCAAAAGCAATGTATTAATCTGAAATTATTTATCATAGCGCTTTTTAACATGAACTTTTTATCCGAAGATCTTAGTGAACTGTGAAAACTTCCTTGGACACCTGATAAATTAGTGAACGATTGCAATCGCGGTCTTGATTTCATAAATTTAACTATAAGAGTTCTAGTATTTTCTGCTTTAATTTAGATGAGTAGTGCTGGAAATGTATTTGGAATTAACTTTCTGAAAGAGTTAATAGAAATGGGTCATGCAATTCTTGCCGAAATATTTCGCTTGGCTGACTGTATTCCGGATGATTTCAAGAATCCAAATCGTAGTCGCTTCAAACCATTCCTTATTGATTTTTCATATTTTGATGATCTTTCTATTATCGATCGGTACATTGATTCAAATGAGGTTCGCTATATACATTTGTATTGTAGAGTTCTATTTTTAATCCTTCTAGTTTTGATTTTTTTTCTTCTCTTGCAAACACTTTTCAATTTATTTTATTTGTCTCTTTTGCTACCAGAAGTTTTTTCAGCAAGGAGCACAACTAGAAGACGAATATTTATTCACATTTGAAAAACATATTAAACGCTTTGGTGCTCTTTTCGATGCTATAGCACATTTTTTTGCTGATTTAATTGAGTGAGTGGATTTTCGTATATTTCGTTTTCATTTTTCCCATGCTTCGTTAAGCAAAAAGTGACTTACCTTTTCGAATTATGGGGAAATTTGTTTAATAGTACATGTGGTTGGGAAGTAAATGCTATTGTTATTTCATTGTTATTTTTATTCCTATTACTCCTTATTCTTAATTATTATAGATATTCAGAAAATAGTCGATGCAGTTATATCGCTTTTTCGCTGCGTCGAACAGCAGCTTTCCTCATGTTATGTCAGTATGAGGTTCGTCGTAATACCGATTTTTTTTTCACATTTATCTTTAATAATTCAAGCTTCTTTTAAGATTTTTTCTAAGTTTAAATCGTAGTTTTTTCAACTACATTTATTTGTTTTGAAAAATTTACTAAATCACTTTGAAATTTGTTCAAACATAGTATCTTAAGCGTGAATAATTTGCAGGCAGAGGCACTCTTTATTACAGGCGTCATTCTGTTGGCGTTAGATGAAAAATATACGAATGGAGTGAAGCAAAGATTGTTTGTTGCACACTACAGAAGCAAGTACGTAACTGAGATTTTTAGTGAAAATTACAGTAAACGTAAATGCTGAGATAATGACGTGTTACTATAGCGTAAGTTATTTTCCATATTAATGAAGCACTCGCTTGGAATGGTATGCAGTTAAGCGATAGTGGAAGATACCGTAAACGGTTGGAATATCGCTTAGTTTATGCAGACTTTTTACTTTCATATTATAAGAAGTACAACATTTCAGCCCTTCGAGCAGTGAACGATTTGATCTTTTAGTTGATGTTTTAAAGGCAGCCTCGAGTCG